TTTCAAGAATCCCCAATACTTGAAACCTCGGCTTATACCTATTCTCCACGCTGCACGCAAGAGCAACCGGGTTATTCACAATCGACGAATTATCGAACTTCCCTGTTTCAAACACGAGTTTTTTTATGGTCTTCATCTTCTCCGTTGATTTCGTAAACAACATAGGTGCCTTCCTAAACATCGCCAATATTTCCGTGTCCGAAAATCCCAACTCCCGAAAACCCTGCAACTTGCGCTCCCATGTCTCGTCACTCATCATAGCAATAACCATAATCGCGTAAACAAACATTTTCGAGCATCGATCAAACCCGATCTTTTCGATTCTTTCAACAGACTTCTTCATGATTCCCGTCTTGATCAAAAGACACCTCGGGTTACTATAAACTATGACCAGAATACGCTCCATGGGTACGCCGTAGCTCTTCAAGAACTCGACGTTGGGCACCATATTCTTTTCCAAATCGGCCGTCAGAAACCACCCGCACAACCGTAAAATTTTTGCCAGGTCGTGATCGGAACCCAACATGCCTTTGAGCAGAGTTAACGAGGGAACGATGCTGTTATCAACGCTCGAATGCAGTATCGTCGGATAACTCGTCATTATATAGGTGATGTCTTCTGAAGAAAACCCCAAATCTTGAAAAATCTTGATTTTGGGTTTGATGCTTTTCTCGACGCTCGACGCGAGAAATCGAGGCCTGTACTTGACAAGCTTCTCCAATTGGGTGGTCGAAAAGCCGGTATCTCTGAAATATGAGAGTACTGAATCGGCTTTGACTGAGTCGGTGAGATTACTGAATCTCAAATCTGAGTCAACTAATGAAGCCACCTCGGGAGAGAAGTGGTGTTTATGCAACAAGATATCGAGAACCGTGGGAGCGGCGGCGGCGGCGATGGCGGTTTGGTTGTTTTCGCCCCTCGAATTAGAGAAAAAATGGGAATTGCAGAGAGGTAATAAAGAGTGATTCGAAATTGAAGAGGTGAGATTTCGGCGTACGAGTGAAATCATCTTTGCGAATTGAATGTGTAAATCATTTGGTTGGGTTTATAGAGGAAGATTACTTACTTGCCTGAAGATTGAAGCTTCGAAGCCATGGTTGTGAGCAGTGATTCTGATTTTAGGGTTTTGGAGCTCTTCACAATTTGAATTTGGGGTTTTTTTTTAATAATTTTGATTCGGGTGATTGGCATTTTGCATCTCCAATTTAGATGCCATTTGCACATTGCACCCTTAAATTGAAACAAATAGCAGAATGCACCCTCCAATTATAAATTGCTTGGCAAAGTGCAGCCTAGTTCAATTTGCTACAAAATTCATCACTGCACAGTAATTCACTCTTAAGGAACAACTTTTGTTTTTCTTTTTCTCAAATATTAATGTACATTCATTCCCCTTTCGTTTATGGTGTTTCACAAACGTTGCTACAAATATGAAGCTCATCAAATCATTTGCCAAAAAAGATTAAAATTTGAAACTTCCAACTGGTCAAAATAAATAAACTAGGAATCGGCAATTGTAACTTCGACTTCAACACCAGGTTCATTGGTGATTGAAGTAATTTGCTTCACAACATCTAGAGAGCTGAAAAGGTCAATCACACGCTTTTGTACAGAACAAACTTTTTCGAGATTCTTGATGTTATTACATATTTCGGATATGATTCTGTGTTGTAATTTGAATTTTTATTGAATTGTTTTGTGTTTGTCTTTATGTATGAAATAGTTGCGGACATCATGATTATTTTATGTGTAGCACATTCGAAATCTACGAAGATCTGTGGAAGAAAACTCATATGATCGGAGCTGTACCTTGTCCCTATCTCTGGAAGAAAACTCCTATATATCTCAGCCATGGCAAAGTAGAAGAAATGAATTTATAGAAGTTTTCTCTAAAGCTGGAGTTGTTTATTTTGTAGTTGATTTTGAAAATTTGTAGTTTTTTCGATTTTTGTAGTTGATTTTGGCAATTTATAGTTGTTTTCACTAATTTTATAGTTTTTGATAATTTTTAGTTGATTTCATCAACCAACTAGATTTTATTGTTGTTTTCAATATTTTATAGGTGATCTCAATTTTTTTATAGTTGATTTCTTTAATTTTTAGTTGATCTTATTTGGTAAATCTGCCATTGAAAACAACTACTTTTTGTGGTTGTTTTAGATTTTTCTTAAAGTCGATTCGGAGAAAAAAACGATAAAGAAAAATAGTTGTTTTCGGTAAATATATAGTTGATTATGAACAAAATAGCCAAAATAGGGGAAAAGAAAAACGATTTTTTAGTCGTTTAAGAAATATTATAGTTGTTTTCGAAAATTTTATAGTTGTTTTTTTTATAATTGATTTGCAAATCCAACAGTAGAAAACAAAAATTAATTATTTTTAAGCAAAGAATATATTTTAAATAAATACTTTTTTAAAAGATAAATAAATAAATAAACGAAAATTATAATTAAAAGAAATTATGAAATCATTAAAGTGGTGTGTAGTGAATAGTAGGGAGGGTAAATTTGGAATAAGAGAAAACTGGACCTATCACTAATAAAGAAAAAGATGCTGAATCCATCCTTATTAAAAAAAACTAGTATTTCACCCGTGCGATGCACGGGGCATTGAGTTCTAACAAATATTTGATAATAAAAAAGTTCTTAAAATAGTAAGATGAATGGTTGATATGCAATACAAAGTATTAGAAAAATATTTAATGAAAAAATATTTCGTATGGTGTAAGTGATCAATTAAGCCAAAATAAGTGAAAAAGGTAAAAAATCGAAGGTTTTTTTTTTTTCCGCATACAAAGAGTCGTTGGTCCCAAACTTGTACAACCATAACTACCAATTAATTCAAATTCTTAATTTGATCCAAACAATTACTGTTATTGCGTTTGATAACAACCGCCCTGACGCATGGATCCAATACAGTGCGAGTAACCTGCATATTTTGTACAGTGGTCATACGAAATAACTAACAATTACCAAAACAACAACAATATAAAATTTTAATGAAATAAAATCATTTTACACTAAATTTACCTCGATAAAAAATCTTGAGTGGAATCGATAGTAAGTTCATAGTACAATACAAATTACGAATAACCATACATATAAGTAATTAAAGGTTGTTATTTAATAATGTATACAATTTTACATAGTTACCTTAATATATGCTGAAAAGTTTCCAGGTGTACCATATTGTTTGTAACGCTGGTCGTACTGCCAGATTCCTACTTGATAAAAATCTTACATAGGGGTTATTTTATTGAACAGGTTGCACACCAGATTGGGATAAACAAACTCGATAAGATCCAAAAAATGAATCGAAAGAATCACGAATCAACACGTCATCGGTAATTTCAATTCCAGTACTGCCTTATTAATATCAATCCTAATCATAATCCTCAATTTATTTTATGCTACACCCAATAAAACACACCTGGTAGATTATCATTATTCATATGCGCACAAACACACAAACACACAAACACACACATTGGTGTGTGGATCAACGGTAAAAACATCACCCGGTGTAGTCTTCATCGGCTGTAACAGAGAAATAACTCATAATCCTCATACTAATACTAATACTAATAATATTATTACATATATCATATGATAATGCTAACTTTAATATACTAATGTCAATACTAATACTAATATTAATATACCAATACCACTATCAATACCAATATCAATACCAATACAAATACCAATACTAAAACCAAAACCAACACCAACACCAACACCAACACCAACACCAATACCAACATCATTACCATTACCATTACCATTACCATTACCATTACCATTACCGTTACCATTGCCCTTACCATTGCCGTTAAAATTACCATTACTATTGCCATTACTATTACCATTATCAATATCATTACCATTGTCATTATATGTACCGTTATCAATACCAATAAAAATACTAATACCAATATCAATACCAATAGTAATACCAATACCAATACCAACACAAATACCAATACCAATACTAATACCAATATCAATACCAATACTAATACCGATGCCAATACCAGTATCAATGCTAATATCAATACCAATAGAAATATCAATAACAATAACAATACCAATAGAAATATCAATAACAATAACACTACCATTACCAATACCATTACAATTAACATTACCATTATCATTACTAATAATCGTAACCCTAATCCTAATTGAAATTCTAATCATAATCCTAATCGTAATGCTAATGTCAATTATAACTAATCATAATTTTAATCATAATAATAATACTAATCATTATCCTAATCATAATCATAATACTAATGCTAATACTTATACTAATACTAATACTAATACTAATACTAATAGTTTACTAATAGTAATACTAATACTAATACTAATACTCATATTAATATTGTTACTGATACTAATACTAATACTGATATTGGTACTAATAATACTACTGATACTGATACTAATATTAATACTGATACTGGTACTAATACTAATACTAATACTAATACTGATACTTGTACTAATACTAATACTAATACTCATACTGATATTAATATTAATGTTAATACTAATACTAATCCTAATACTCATACTGATACTAATGCTAATAATAATAATAATACTCATACAAATACGGATATTGATACTGATACTGATACTCATGGTAATATTAATATTAATATTAATATTAATATTAATATTAATATTAATAGTGATACTAATATAATATTAATACTAATACTGATACGCATACTGACACTCATATTAACACTCATACTAATATTGTCATATTAACACTCATACTAATATTGATTCTCATACTCATACTAATACTCATACTATTACTCATACTAATACAAAAACTAATACAGATAATGATACTGATATTGGTAATGATAATAATAATACTGATATTGATACTGATACCTATACTAATACTGATTCTGATACCGATATTGATAGTGATGTTAATACTGATATTAATCCTAATATAAATACTAATATTAATACTAAAACTAATATTAATACTAATACTAATACTTATACTATTACTATTACTAATACTAATATTAAAACTAATACTATTACTAATATTAATACTAATACTAATACTAATACTAATATTAAAACTATTACTAATACTAATATGTTAATATTGTTAATGTTAATGCTAATGTACTAATGCTAATACCAATTTTAATGCTAATGCTAATCTGGATATGCTAATGCTAATTATAATTGTAATTCTAATATTATCCAAATCATTATCATATTTCTAATCCTATTCATAACACTAATCATCTAATGGTAATATTAATCCTATTCCTAACACTAATCATAATTCTAATCATAACCCTAATAATTTTAATACTAATAATGTTAATGTTAATGGTAATGCTAATATTAATTATAATTATAATTCTAATCTTAATTATAATCATAATCTTAATCCTAATGCTAATTATAATTTTAATACTCATACATGTCACTAATTGTAGTACTAATCATAAGCATAATTTTAATTCTAATTCTAATACTAATATAAATCATAATCATAATCCTAATATTAATTATAATACTATATTAATCCTAATATTAATTATAATACTATATTAATCCTAATGATAATTCGAATCCTAATCCTAGTATTAATACTAATACTAATTCAAAGAATATTAAGTATAATCCTAATACTAATCACAATCCTAATTTTGTTTTTGCATCATTTTTTTTTTTGCAATGATCTATTATTTTGTATCAACCACATCAATATTATTATTTTGTTTGGATTTTTTTGTTTGTTTGAGTTATTCACGGAGTAACGTAATAATATTACTGTATATTATTGTAATATTATTGTGGTTGACGGTAATGTTAATGTTGTTATAATAATATTACTATCACTCACAGTAATATTAATTCTTTTGGCTTTTATTATGTTTACATTTGTGAACGGCCAACATAGTTATATTACTCTATTACACAATAATAATGAGTTTTGTTGTGTTAATATTACTGTGCTAGAGATTAATATAGCAGTATTACTGTGTTAAACTGTAGTTTAGTTAATTTTACTGTGTTTAACAGTAATATAGTTAATATTACTGTCAATCACAGCAATATTGTTGTTTAAAGAAAAATAAAACTTACAGCAAGAAAGAAAAGAAAAAGAATCGAAAAAGTCTACCCCGCAAACCGGCGCAAAGTTCCGGAAGAAAACAAAAGTTAAATTTAAAAAGTCAACGCCGGAGACCGGCGGGAAAACAAATTTGAAGAAGCAAATCTTTTTGAATTTTTTTTTTTGTTGAAAAAAAAAAGTTTTAGGTCAAAAGTGAATAATTTGTGAAATTTGGGGTCTAATTGAGGTTAAATTAAGTTAAGGATGAAATTGGAGCATGTTAAAGTATGAGAGGTTATTTTAGTCCTTTACAAAAATCTGGACCATGTGTGGACTTATTGGTAAAGAGGATTTTTGTCTGGATCTCTTTATGAATAAGTACCCATTGATGGGCTTATTTGTAATCACCCCTATTATATATTCTTAACTAGTATTTATCGGCGTGCAATAATCTATTGCACTATTTTAATAAAATTTATCAGTTATATTTAGATCATACCATTCATAAAGAAATGAAGCAAGTAATAAACCATAAAACTTAATAATAAAGATAGGGGTTTTTGTGATAAAGTCCCCAACCAACCATGTTTATTATTCTAGGTTTAGGGACATATCTCTTTCACCAATAAGCTCATCACTTTAATATTTATTATAAATAAAGGAAACACTCATGTATATCCCAATATTACCCTCAACCATTTATACCCAATTTTTAATTGTAACCCCAATTTAATCAAT